TTTTTATTTCCTGTACTTGTGAAAACCAGAAGACTTAAGGAAAGGATTTTAGTTAAGGCTGTCTTGCTCACATTTTGGAGCCATCTCCTTGTCACGTGTGAATGCAGGTGCTCGAAGACAGTCATTTCCTGCTAGATCAAGGCATTCTGGTTTGGTGTCTACCATGTGGGACATTTTAAAGCAGCAGTGCCCATATGCTGTATGAAGATGGGCATTTAAGTAAGCATTTAAGTAAGCAAGTAAAAAGCATTTAAGTCAAGCGATACTTAACCCAGGATTTTTTTTTTTTAGATATGCACACACACATATATGTAAACAAATAAAGATTAAAAGCTGTTGTGTCTGAATGAGGATTAGCTAATGAAACAGTCTGGACATGAAAAGTTTCACTTTGCTCTCACAGGCAGTAAGACGAAACAGAACAGCTAACAACTGCATCAAAAAGGAGAATGAGGGAAGCCAGTCTTGGGAGTCCAGAGGTGAAAATACCCAAATTATCAAGTAATTATGTTCTTAAATGCCAATGTGGCATAGGTTAAATATTACTGAAAATAATACAGGCAACTAAAGCTGAATTCCTAACTCAACGGTAATCCTCTTCTCTAGGATATGAGAATGCAAAGGACTATCTTTAAATGAAGAAACAAATCTGTGCTGCATTGCAAGAGTGATGTAAGACAGCAGTTACACCTGTGACCAATATTTCCCAATTCTCCTTTTCACTATTGACAAAAAACCAACTACTTTGATCCTCCCAAGCCTGTTTGAACTATGTTGGTGAATTTAAAGTAAATACCGAACCACGCACAGCCCCCAGACCCCACACAAGAGCTCTGCTCCCTCTGCTAAATCAACATCCATCTTTACCAACCTAAAACCGTCATGAAAACATGCACCAAACACGTTGGGAGATACTGTTTTTCTGCCCGAGGCAACCACACACCTTATGCCTGTATTAAATGAAAGAGTTGGCCTGGTTTATAATGCCCACGCAGACTGGTATTCGCACTGCCAAGGTCTCTCTGTTGTTCTCCAAAAGCCTGTGGAATACACTCAGCCAGAACACCTAACCCAGCAATAACAAAGATGTCCAAAAGCTTTTTGAGTATGATTTACTTAGGATGTTCTTCCCTGCTCTTTGTAGACAGTTAACACATCATATAAGCACACATTTAATTCCATCCTTCACCCAGCCCTCAGCCACCAATTAATTTAGGAACATTTAAGGCTCAGGAATAGAGCTTTAAACGCTCTGAGCTACTTGGATTGCACTAACTTGCGAAGCATCGTGCTCCAGAAGAGAGACTCATGGAGAAGGCAACAAATGATGAAAGGGTTTTATTGTGCAAAGATTTCAAAATGCTGGAAATCCTTCTGCATTTCCCTTTTCTTCACTTTTTCCTCCCCTCCCCTAGCTGGGAATAAGGAAACAGCGTAGTTATTCTACAGCTGGTTCCCACCACTAAACTGTTCTGGTTCCCACCGAGTTGTGCATTTGAGCAAAAACAAGAACAAACATTAACAGCTCCATTCCCACCCATCTGCTAGACAGGAACTCACAGACGCTTCATTATATACCTCCCGCTGGCCCTGACGAGGCAGAGGGTTGTATAGAAAGGAGGGGAAGACTCAGACAAAACACAAGAGTCATTGTAATTGTTCTCATTCCTGATTCTATCAGCTCACGTTAGCCAAAACATCGTGCCACTTCAAGCCTTCCCTTGCCGTTAAGGACAGGCATTGTCAACGGCACCTCGAGAAGCTTTCGTAGATGGTGCAAATGTGAGTTTAAAGAAGGTAAGAGCAGGGAACAAAACCAGGGCCATTTTGTGTAACTGGAATTTTATTTTATATATAAATAATAACAAGAGATTGAGGAACTGAGACTTGCTACTTGCAATGGGACAAGCACAGGCAGACTTGAGTCCCATTGCAGAATTGAGGACAAGGTCTCAAGACTGACCCCAAATACGCAGTGTCCTTTCACAGATTCCTTACCAGAAGCCCAAGCAGCACACCGTCAGTCTTTCCTGAGGCAGAAGGCAGATTAGTCACATTCAAAATCAAGATGGATTCAGACGGTTTTCCTCTTTTTCTTGGGAAACCGTTGCTAATGCCTGTAGTTTTTGTCCCCCTATAACCAAGGAAAGGGGACAGAGTATAAGCGTGAGAGGGAGGAAGGGAGAAAGCAGAATTAAACGCCACAGGCCTTTTCCTTCCGTTGCCAAAGTGCAATCAAAGCTCTGTTCCTCTAATAGATTTTGATCAACTTGCCCATCAAAGAAAATTCTCAATACCAATTTACTCCTAGTAAAGGGATTTAACTCTTCATATTACGGACATTAGAGCACTAATGATTATGCCTGCTCTAGAGAAACTGACTCCTATATAGTTGACCTGTAAGGAAATATAAAAGAGAAAAAACACTTCACAGCAACCAAACAGCAACTGAAATCTTGTGTGATAAACCAACTTTCTCAAATGGGATTCTTATTAATTTCCATCAATTGCACCGTTTCCTAATCCCACTTCCTCTGGTGTAAAGCTAGGGCAGTTTGACTCCAAGAAATACACTTATGTAAATGTAGAGCGTGAAGTGAGTGAGAATAGGATATGGTATCTTCATGGAGAAACACAAAGCCATGTCGATTCCGAGCAACTCTTCAGCACAACAGCTGGATAAAATTAAAGCTTGCTTCTCCCATGTTGGGATGTGGTTTGAACTGTAGTTTGCATATAATTCTTGATGACAGACATACTACAATAAAGGAGGTGCGATGCTGCTGGTTTTTGGAATGGAGAAATATGTTACTGTCGCCAACCCAAAGCGATTTTGTCCTTGGCTGACCATTCACAATTCAGAGACCCACGCTGTGGCAAACTTCTGTGAGGAAAATGAGATTGTATTTATTTCGGCAACCAGATTCAACCAGGAATACTGCCAACAGTTGAAAATACAGTGAGACTTGGAGGACTGATCTCATTCAGAGTAAACAAATACGCCTTTTCAAAGATCACAGCAGCAGCAGTCTCCAGCCTTTGGGATCACCCCAACCCAACAAAACATCTGGACTTGGGTATGGAGTTAAATAACTGGAACTGGTTTCAAGCAGAAGTAACAAACTGCCACCCCCGCAGAACAGCTGACGATACTGAACTGAACTTTCACCATCTGGTTGCTCTAGGTCAAAACTCTAGCAGTTCCGTTTATGTATCTCCTCCAGCAATATGCGGCAAAACCAGCAGATTTCAAAACCAGCAGCGCCCAGGCACGTTAAGCACCTGAGCAATTGCCTTAACTCTTTAAAAAGAAAGGCAGTAGAACACCTGAGACAGCAGCCATTAGTGAGGTTTTCCTCCAAACTTACTTTGAGTATATTCATGAATAAAATCCCAAGGACAAAGGGTCTGGACACCAACTTGCTACTCTTCCTGACAGCATTGCTCCTTTCCTTCCACCCACCCCGCCTTGAAAAAGAAAACGAGCCCTAAGCAAAAAGCACTAGCATTGCAAAAAGTGAGTAATGACCTATGAGAAGTTATATTCACATAGTAAGAAATGCTAAAAAAGAAAATAAAAGCTATTTACGGGTTTCTGTTTGTAATGAACCTCGACATCTGTACGGTGTCCTACATACATAAACAAAAGCTCTGTTTTCCTGGCTATTTATCACTTAGTAGCTCTGTCCTAGTTCACAGTAAGCACAATATTTTACTGAAAGCTTTTACTGAAGCTTTTCTTCCTCTTCCTCTTGGTTCTCCCGGGTATCTTTACTCAAAACAAAACCGTTCTTCCTTTTTTTTTTTTTTTTTAACATGGCTATTTTATAAAACAGTTGGAAAACACGTATTCTTTAAAACTTGATATTCCTATGTAGTCAATAAATCTGCCAGCCAACATACCTTTTTGCCCTTGTGAAAATTAGCTACAGCAATTAAAAACATATTAAGGGAAACAACATTAGAAACTAGTTTTGCCTTTAAAGCTGACCATGTAACAGTGGAACACAATTGTTCAGCAGATGCACGCGCTCTGTCACATCTGCAAACATTTGAGAGTGGTGGTGATGCACAGAAGCAAAAAAATAAAAAAAACACCCCAAAACAAATTCAGTGCAGTTTTTTAAATCCGGACTCTGTTTACACAGTTGGCAGTTTGGAAAAGAAGTAAGTTTGCCGGTAAATGGACCACTGCATACAAAAATAACGAGGAGTCCCTACAGCACTAGGATTACTTTCTGATGAAAAAGTAAGTCTTTAACATAATGTGGAAATAATAAAGGGCAAAGACAATCAACTAGAACACATGTTCAGAAAAAGGCATCCTTTATCAACTGATAGCAGGGTAGACATTGGATTTTGTACTGAATTATGTCTAATTACATTATCTTTACTAGTAAACAGCCTCAAATACAGAGCAGGTTTTGTCCTTAAAAATTTGGTTTTGTTTTGCTTTTCTAGAAACTGTAACAATCATGGGACTTGCTTGAGTTTAGAAAGCAGCCCAGTAGCCAAGTCAGAAACAAAACGGGCGTCTCAGCTCGAGTTTCTGTCTCAGAGGACTGGGAAACGCCGCCTTCATTTCCTGCTTCATTCGTTCCCAACTGATGAAGCACTCTCATTAGGGAGAGGCATCAACAGGAAAGGTCAGGCAGTTTGTGGACTGTTACAGGCTGTGAGATAATGCGGTACCCTGGCACTGACACATTTTTAGAGACAATGTATCAGCAGGAAAGAAGTTTCTTCTCCCTCCTTCATACCTGCACATGTGTGGCAAAGAGGGGTTTGGTATGGGGGGGCAGAAATGGGAAGGGAAGAAGGAAAAAAAAAAAACACCCAAACCTCCAATACATTAGCAAGGCCTTGCTAAGTTAATATTCATCAATATGAAGAAGTCAAACTTGCAAGTGTTTGGCTTTCCCAGATTATTTTGCTGCTGTAGCCCCATTCTGTTACCAGTCTTTATGCTTTACCTGTTTGATGCCAAGTGATCTGGTGTTCTACTTCTGGTCTCGCTCTTCATTTGAAGCTGCATGGATTTCCAGGGCCTTGTCACCATCTCCATCACCCTTGAGGAGGGAAAAATATGCACAGAATTTTAATTGAAGGCAATCCACGATTAATGTTTATGCTGGAACAGAAACCTTCTTCAAAGGCTGAAACAAAACCTTTTTGCAAAATCAAGTGGTTGATGAGACTAATTCAGTGTCATGTACCCAGATACAAGCTTCTCCCAAACAGTTTCTAGATTTTAGCCTTCCTATAGTTAGCTGAGCAATTAAGGGATTTGAAAGAACAAGTAGTTCAACAAAAATGCTTTAATTGACTCATTTTGCCTGCACTAATAACAGAGGATGAATTCCCACAGCGTAGTTGCTACTTTGCATTCTCCGAATTCTGTGTGGATTTATACAATAGGTCTCTTTTAGTCCATATCCTGTGAGAGAGTGTTCTCACACTTTCCCCAAAATAAGTGATAGGAATCAAAGAACGAAGAGACGCTTGTTAGAGTGTCCAGCCTATCTACTTGCCAAGTATGCTACAACAAACAGGCGTTTGATTATAGCTTTAAACAGTGGGCTGGATTCAGTCAGGAAAGAGTTTAACCGGAGTTAAACCACGACAAACAGATTATCAGTAAATTAAAAAATACTTCAAGGGCCACACACAGGGCTGGGGGACGGGAGCACATGACACACAAGGACAGGTTGAGAGATGTGGGCCTGTTCAGCCCGGAGAAGGGCAGACAAAGGGGGAACCTAATTGTTATCCACATTTCCTTCATGGGCATATTTGGAAGAATTAGGCTCTTCTCAGAGGTTTACACTTAAAGGACATGGAGCATGGCAAATTTCTATTAGACCTAAGGTGGAAAAAGAAACCCCATGTGTCACACCACTGATCAAGCACTGCAGCAGGTTTTCCAGAGAACTTTCTGAATCTCCATCCTTGGAAATATTCAGCATTTGGCTGCACAAGGCCTGAGTCACCAAATCTAACTTCGAAGCTGTCTCTGCTTTGAACAGGGGGTTGGATGAAATGATCAGAGGTCGCACCCAGCCTCAATTATTCCTAAATTCCACACATGATAATTAAATGACATTTTCTTCTTATTCTAAAAAGATACTTTTTACTAATATAATGTAAATGTGATGGAAAAATGTAACAAGAGAAGCCAGAAGAGACTGGAAAACAAACGTTTCACAGGATGGGCCAAATTTATGTCCCAGCACAAGTTAAACACTATGAATAAGGCACAGAGTATCATGGACTCTGCATATAGTGTACTGAAGATACAGGCTCAATACATCAAGATTCAATTAGAAAGATAATTCTTAAAGTTTTTATTCAAAATATGCCTAGAAAAACCTTTAAAAGGGAATACTTTCTTTCAAAAACCCATTTTGTTTTGATCACTACCCCGGATATTTCATAGTATAGGAAATCACATTCACAAGCCACACCCATTTCAAAATAATGATCTTCTTTGTAAATTTTCCTGTACAGGAACTTGTAAGTTAAGACATTCTGCTACAATTTGTAATGAATAATCTGACTCATAATGCCTCATCTCAGGGATTACTCAATCCTGAACAAATGAACTGAAAATAAGTTGTTCACAGAGAGTTCAATGTTTTTCCACTTGCTTGTTTTAACTTGTAAAAAGCAAATACCATCTAAGCAAGCTTTTTTTTTTCTTGGTCCTGAAAGAGGAAAAACCCCAAAGCAACACACACAGAGACACACAAGTGTACAGGAAAACAGAGGTCTTGCTCCATTCATTTCTGTGAGCTCAGTAGATCTCATCATAGGGATTGTCTCCACCAGGTCTATTAAGCCCAAATTACTTAGTTCAAGCTAACCCACTGGTCAACTGCCGCTCCTCACATAAACTCATTTGCTGAATTAGCAATTAAAAAGTTCTTTTAACTCCATCCACTCTTTGTGCCCACTACACAAACTGTGAGCCTGAGCGAGACAGTAATACGGGTAGCCAGAAAAGGAAGCCCTTTGAGCTAGCACAGGACACAAACACACCCAATTTTACAACAAAGTGTCAAGGTCCTTTAGTCGCAATCAAAACCAGCGCAGAAGCACAAAACATGTTTAGATCAATGACCCAGAAGACAGGCTGCCTCTGTGCCATGATGCCCTCTCATAATTAGAAGCAGGCACATATTCAAGACAGTCTTGCCACTTTCTAGCTCAACTCCACCATCCAGCACGTATCTGGGTGGCCAGAGAAGTTCACACATCAGAGCTCTATCCCACACCAGAAGAAGTGTCTTAGGAATCTAATAGTTTCAACAGAAAGGTGACCGATAAGAAATCCCTCTCCACAATGCATTCATTAGCAGTCTTCAGTATACTGGGATTCCGTGGGGTTATTAAAAACAAACAAACAAAAAGGAAAAAGTAATTTGAAAACAGTACTGGAGCTAAGGGTACACAATGCTTTTTGTAAGCTTGCAGGACATGGGTGATTAAAGACACCCCAACTTAGCTCTCGGTAGCCAACAGAGATACACTGAGAACTCCATTTGAAATGACAAACTTTGAAAAACGCAACGATTTCTGTGAAAATTTTCCTTCCATAGAGAGAAAAATGCCCCAACACAACCTAGTCTAACATCAAAACTCAAGCGTGGGGTGGCTTTTTTCTCTCACAGTACAGCCTAGTTAGTTCCTGCTGCTCTCTCAGAAAGCCTTGCAGATGGCCAGGCCCTTTTAGGCTGGCACCTAACCTTAGAAATGTTATCTCCAAAGGCAGGTGTACATCTCTCGCTTACGGAAAACCCTTGAAAGGTAGAGTCTGGTCACCAGAAAAAAAAACAACAGCTGCAAAAGGAAAACAAAAGCTCATCTGGGCTCACAGATTAATAATTTACCTTTTCTTCTGTCCTCATTTGTTTGCAACGCCTTGTGTAGAATAAAGAGAAGGTCGCTGGTTTACCTTATTCATCCTCCACCAGTCAATCAATAACTTATTCTCCATTTTTTATTTTTAGATGAGCTTGACCTTCATTCTCACAGAAATATAAAGCACTTTTTAAAAAAATTACTCTTAAATTGCTCTAAAAATCTCAACTTTGTGTGAGGTAGATTCAGTCTTTCCTGCCTTTAACACGTTTAAGTTCAACACAGCCCAAACGAAGGATCCAATCCCAAAGCAGTAATAATTTTTACAAGCTTTACTCTGTTGCTCTTCTTACTACCAAACATTAAAAGAAGAGTGAATGTCAGGGAATGCTATTTTTCTGTCAGAAGTACTGTTTATCTTTTAGTTCAGATGACCAAACTTCTGCTCATCTGTTCGGAAGCGACCACAGACAGTGTTCTGAGCAAGTGCAGGAAACAAGGACCCAAAGCTCAGCAGTCTTTGCACGTGGAAGCCCTCTGTTGCCAGCGAACAAATAATAAAACACCCAGAGACAGCTATATAGACATTGCTACATTTTAAATGTTTATATGTTGTTGTACATGCAATAAATATATATATAGCTTAAAAACATACATCAGTATTGGTAAGTCACAGA